CTCTTTCTTCTAGCGAGGGAAGAAAATAGGTGGAGAGGTTTTTTTTTTATTTTTATTAAAAATATAAAAATTTATCTACATATTATTTTATTTATTCATGTCATCATTATTTCTAATTAGATGATCTATGTTATTATTTTTTTCCAATTAGATTATACATGTCATCAAAAAAATATAAAAAATGCCAAATGGACGGAGTTAATGGCTTAAACTAATGAAAGTATCAAAATTATGCAGTTATTAAAGTTAAGGGATTAAAAAGTATAAAAAAATAATTTAAAGACAAAAAAGTACAAAAAATAGTTTATAAACCAAAAAAGTACAATTCAATAAAGCTGAGGGATAAAAAAGTGAAATTTAATGAAGTTGAGAGACAAAAAAGTGAAATTTAATGAAGTTAAGGGACAAAAAAGTGAAACTTAATGAAGTTGAGGGACCAAAATTAGCATTTAACCAATTTTTTTCAAGTGGCGGGTGTGAAATGTGACGGAACATTAACGGAATAATAGGAGATTTGACCGGAAGTTAGTTTTCCGTCCAATTGGGACCTTATTTGAGAATTTCGTGGAGTTCGGGACCTTCATTGAGCGCAATCGAAGTTTGGATCTGAAATTGCGAATTTGGTGTAAGTTTGGGTCCTCATGTCATATTTTTGCCTAAATTTAAAACCCAGAATCAGCATATGCCCACCAAATATCTCTTGGCCCCAGCCATGTACATATTGATGTGTGCACCGAGCACAGCCCTCGGTCACCCCACCCCACCACTACATTGCCATAACACCTACTCTTGCCGACAGTTCTTGTGCACATATGTGCCTATACACGTAAGCAAATTGCAGAAGAAACAAGAGGGGTATGGCAAAAGATGATGAAAGAAAAAAGGGGATTATTTGTTATGGTGGATAAACATGTTGTACACGGATGCTTGTCATGCCTTACATGCACCATTGTCAACACCTAATATATGGAATCTGAAGCACAGAGAATCAACGCAAGTTCATTCTTATGTCTTACTCGAACTTTCCAACTATACAAATACAATATGGCTTGAATCTGAAATGCCAAAGTACACTCAATAAGAATCAACAAACTAAGCGAAGAAAATACAAACAATGATCAAACGCCTAGGGAAGAATACGTGAGACTATCCAATATTTAATGGGGGGAAAAAAAAAGGAAAAATCTAAAGAATAAAAGTGAAAGATACTAACTATGACTACAGAGTGGAGAGTTATTGATGAATGGAGAAACTCTAAAGGGTATCTCAAAGCAAATGTAAGAATGAAATGCTGATTATTGGATTGGACAGTATCCCTTAACTTTTGTCAAGGAAGAAATACTGAATTTCATCAATTGTGCACTGCCAAACCAGCTTCCGCCTGTAGGTATGATACATATTCACCAGAGTTGAACAAGGTTTACTTTCTCTTTATTTTGATCATGTTAACCATTAGCTCATCTGCTCTCCTATTAAATCTAGACCCACAAGTAGGAAGGTCACCCCTTGGAAGAGGAGGAAGTAGAAATGCACTCCCTGGGCTGCTAACAGACTCCTGACTGAAGCTGTGAGTAAGAGGAATGCCAGTGCAAGCTCTTTCCTGTATATCTTATTCACCTTCCTTACAGGTGGAGGAGCTGCTTCTCTTTGTTCCTTTAATTGATTCAATGTAGCCAGCTCACTCTCAGAAGCTCCTCTGCAAATTGGTGGTTGGTTCGTAGTCTTGGATTCTCTCTCAGCAGCAGCCAGCAAGTCAGATTCTGAAGACCTGCCTGCTTTCTTGGTGACAACCCACTCATATGAGCTCCCTAACTGGAATAATCCAGATACCATTGCATTGAATTTGGTCACTGACATGGTGTTTTCGAACAGGAGGTAAGGAATGATGAAAGGAATTGATTTGGGGGCTGGGAGAATGTTGAGGAATGACATAAAAACAGGCACATAACAAATGACCCAAACAGGAAGCTCAGCCTCTGGTACAAACATGGTTAGAGGAAGGATTATGCAGAATAATGTGAAGGAGTAGAAGGGAAGGATGAGTTTCCTCAATAAAAAGAACAGTAGTACCAGATTTGCTTTCTTCCACATAGCTATCTGCAAATTTCAAAGCATTCAAGGTACTTCAGAAATATTATACCATATGTAAGATATGACTGCCAGAAAATGAAAGTTGAGCATGAAATTTACTCTAGAAGTTAAAATTGCTGGAAGGCACAAACGGAAAAGTTGCATAGGTCCAGAATGCCAGCGATGTTGCTGCTTCCTGTAAGCTTCATAGGACTCAGGAACTTCACAGAGGACCTGACATTTTTACAAATGGAGAATGGAGTTGACTATGTCAAGAGACTTTGTCAGCATCAACTCTGAACTATTTATGATGTATATTATGATACCTAAAAGAGCTAAAAGAATTTATGCACAGGCAGACTGATTGACTAACCTAGATTGAAATCAATAGCATACTTACTGAGAGCAACATAACAGTACCTTTACATCATCAAGGAAGATGAATTTCCAACCATTAAGATGTGCACGGACAGCTATGTCCATATCCTCAACAGTTGTCCTCTCAAGCCAACCCCCAGACTCCTCGAGGGCTTTGATTCTCCAAACACCAGCTGTCCCATTAAAACCAAAGAAATTGAGGAACACGCCATTCACTTGCTGTTCAACCTCAAAGTGGAAACATAAGTTAATGTTCTGAAGACGAGTCAATAGGTTCTCATCCTTGTTCACAAAAGCCCATCTAGCCTGAACCAATCCTAACTCAGGGTTGTCCTGAAACATAAGAGAGATTTACAAGATAAATAAGCAAAAATTTTTATGAGTTGTAGCAAGGAACTTAGATTGAACCAGAGTTTTTTCCTGTCTTCACCTTGAAATGTGGCACTGTTTGCTTTAGAAAATCTGGATTCGGCTGGAAATCAGCATCAAATATTGCAACAAACTCATAGACCTTCACATAATCACAGCTCATTGCAGACTTTAGATTCCCAGCTTTATAACCAGTTCTAACCAAGCGATGTCGATAAATTATGTTGACACCTCTTTGGCTCCACTTGGAAACTTCTCCTTTAATTAACCATTGGGTGCTCTCATCATCAGAATCATCAAGAACCTGAATAAGTAAACGCTCCTTCGGCCAATCAAGTTGACAGACAGCAGAGATAGACTGCTCATATACCTGTATGAGGTCAGTAGACACAAAACCCATCAAATTCAATATGGCTTCCTTGTATGTTATATTCAAACCATACTATATTTCATTCTAGGCTAGAGCTAACAGATCCAAGAATTATGACACAACTCTTAATATTATTTTACTTAGTGCTGTTCAATTGCAGTACCAATAATTAAACTGCACATAACATGTACCTGAAATTATGTTCAATTTAAAAAACTATATTAGTAGGAAAATCTTCTACTTGCCTAACAAGTATTCTTCCAGTTTTATCACATCCATGAATCTGCTAAATCTAAACACTAATTTTCCAAGTATTACTTTTTAGAATAAAATCCAAAAACATTGGAAGAAAAGGGAATTATAGTTGAATGTGTTACCTCTCTCTCATTACACATTGGGATTTGAACAAGAACCATGGGATACTCATAACCAGATCCCTCAACATCCTCTGACTTGAATGGATCTCCCTCAATCCTTGGCTTAATCTTCTTGTATTTGATCCAAAAGCAACCTAAGGAAAGTATCAGACGATCTACAGACTGAATTAGGAAAAGAACTATACAGAATTGGGACAAAGCTTGAATTAGGGGCGCAAGGTAGTCTCCACGAAACGACAGCCAAGCAACATACACCATGTGGAGCAAACCCTGAATTTCGCTCGTCCGAGGAATGTGTAAATTGTGATTCACAAAATAATGCCACCCCTTGAAATATGCTACGACCTCAAAACAAAGAATCACTAAGGATGTCACCAAGAAAGCCTTGATTACACTGAACAAGAGCTTTCCCTTTCCCAACTTCTCGCTCGCCATGGCTACATCCTGCTGGAAAAACAACCTCTTCTTTATGACTCCGAGCAATGACCAGAAGAAAGTGGCCACCCAAATGAGGCAACCAACAGCGCGGTGAGCCTTAAGAAGCAATACCCATGTCACTTGTTTGGCATTTTTGCCTCTGCTCTTTTCCACTGGTCGGAATGCAGCATCTGGGCCGTCAATTTCCACGACGGAGTAGTTGGGGTTCTCCATTTTCACCACCACCGGCGTCCCTTTCCGGGTATCCTTCCACCACCAACTAGAGAAATCCAACCTCGGAGCCATTTTCAAACTACCAAAGCTCTGAACTTTGAAGAAATCTTCAAAAACCCAGATCCCAAACTGAAGAACTGAACAAGATCCCTAAATCAAAATTGAAAAGAACCCGAATGAAGGCTCTCCATTTTACACAAAATGTAGCAAAGGAGAAGCAAGCAGAAATGAGTGTAGGAGGTCCTTTTGTAGTGGCAAAGGCAGTCTAGGAGGAGACACACCCACCATGGTAAAGCAACATTATTAGGAAAGGTATCCGCAGCTGTTAAGACCGAAAAGGCATGTGGGTTTTTGTCCAAACAGCTAGAATTTTACCATTTTTCTTTGCTCATAGAATCTGCCAACATAATCACAGGGTTACATACATTAAACAATAAATACAATTTTTAAGAGGAATTAGAATTTCCAACCTCCATTCTTGGTGAATAAACTAGAGGAAATATGGTTCTGATTCTGAAAAAATTTGTGGGTTTTATAAAGCAGCGAACATGGCAACGTAAGGAGTAAAACATGCTTACTGATTCATTGCAGAACTATGGTCAATATAAAATCATAAACAGATTAGTTGGAGATATATATATATATATATAGAGAGAGAGAGAGAGATAGATAGAGGGTAGTGAATATAAATCTAATTTGTAAAATAAATTAGAGATTTAATTTATATTTAAAAATTAAAATTTTAATTTTAATTTTAAAAATTTATTATATTAATGTTAATATTTAAAT